TAATGGTTTCACACCATAGTTTAACACAAAGAAAAGGAGCACACATGTAGTATAATGTATAATAAATAGTTTGTTAAACTCTGTTTTACTGAACATTTTTCACTGTGCTCCCAAATTCTTAGTGTGCTCCTTGGGAAAAAGGTTAGCATAGAGCTCTGACTCACTCGTTCTCTCCATTAACAAGGAGTTAATATGTTGACATTTAAGACGCCGGGAGCTGATCCTCAGAATCAGTATCTGTGCCGATTGGGGCATATGTTAAAGAACATAACCAAATCTGATCCTTACTTTGCGGTGCTTTGTTGGAGTGCTGTCCTCTGTAATGACAGCCAGCCTCTACACTGCAAGCATTTAACTGCATATTTACACCAATTAGGGTTGTGAATGTGAAATGTGATTTGATTGCACCGGTGCCTGTTCTAACACCAGGTTGGCATAATTTCTAAGCTCCAACTGCAATAAATCCGTTATCACTCCTCTCTCTCTTATTAGCAAAGAGCAGGGTACAAGAGTGTTTGGTTAAGAAAATAGATAGACTAAATAACTTGAATACATTAGTCTTTGACAAATGTGTAAATTAGTGTTCAGAATTAGGGCCGAACGATTAATTACATTTGCGATATTTTCGCGATATCATAAAATGAGATTTTCCAATCGCAAAGGCTGTGATTACGCTCTGGTCACATAACATGCAAGAGTAAACAAGTCTGCAGAGGAAGAATCAAATTTGCACATTTCGCTGCACCTTGACTTGTTGTTGTCCAATGGCCTTAGGCTTGACAGAAGCTGACATGACAGAAACTGTAGTGTCAAACAGGGAATGAAAGTAGCAGACGCCACCCGCGGGTAACTTGGTGGTGGGTGAAATCGTCGGGCCATCCGTCACTTTGACGGACAGAAAAACGCACAACAGAAAGACACGTGTAGTAAGTTAAGCGTATTGTGGCGCCTGCGTCACACACACAGCCACCGGTCAGCTCTGGAAATATCTGTGAAACAGCGTTTCAAACCGAACTCAAGTCCGACAGAGGCCCAGTCTGTCCTGAGTTACTGCCTGGTTACAGCCAGTTTGCTGCTGACCAGCATCGGAAGCTGCGGGGGGGCTTACTAAGCTTGTCTATTTAACGGGAGAGGCTTCACTTGGTTTTATTTATTGGCCAACTTTTGATTTGAACCTCAAAGTCTATTTTGCTTACTGGGATCCAGAAAGATGGACTCCTGGGAGATTTGAACTGAGATAAGGACTCAATAATTGGTGGTTGAACAGTGGGTTTTGTATTGAGCGCTTACAAACAGTAACTGACAAATCCTTCATAATGCCTTTACTTAACAAAAAAAAAAAAAAGATTCAAACTGAGGATTTTTTTTAGGGTGATGACATAAAATATGACTACAGACATTCAAAGCTTTATCTGAAAACCTCAATATGAGTTTTGAATATTAAAAGATGACCTTTGGTGCAGCCCTAGAAAGTATTTGAGCTGTCAGCTGCCCACAGCTCAAGTGTAAGGATTTAAAGAACTTAAACTGTAATCTTTGTATGCATGCAAGTTTGTAGTGAAAGCACTTCAGATGTCAGCAAGTAGAAGAACTGGAGATACAGTTGATACACAAATATAGTATATAGTTGATATGTCACTAGAAGTAAAGAACTTGGGGCACAGTTTAGCTCACCTGGTAGAGCAGCATGTACAAGGCTGAGTCCTTACTGCAGCGGGCCAGGTTGAAATCCAACCTGTAGCCCTGCGGCCCCCTAGGGGTGGGGGGGAAAAAATCGATACAGCATAGTGTCGTGATATTTGCCATGGCAATACTGTATCGATACACGGACACCAAGTATCGATATTTTAGTATATAAATTGCAGATGGGAGTTTTAACTTTTTGGTACTAGAATAATAAAATCTATTGCTTTTTTAGTCCACTAGAAAACTTAACAGGACCATATAGAGGACTGAAAAAGTGAACAAACAGAGAAATGTTTCTTTTTAGATAAACAGATGTTGACAAAGGGACCTAATTGGAAGTTGGAAAAAGGTAATAAATTGCAATATATCTCAATATATTTAAAATTGCAATAAAATCGAATCGCAACATAAATGTTGTGATAATATCGTATCGTGGGGTGATTCCCACCCCTACGGCCCATCTCCTCGTTTCCTACCACAATCCTGTCTATTAAAGGCGAAAAATGCCCCCCAAAATATCTTACAATAAAAAAAAGAAGTAAAGTACTTAGTAGTACTTTCATAGCAACGGTCCACTGAAGAGGACTTCGGTGTGTACTGTGAAAGCAGTTGAAATGCCAGTTCAAGAGAAAAAATACACAACCGAAGAGTAAGACATGAAAGCAGTTACATTTTCAGGAAGAAAGGCTACTTGGCATTTGGATGAATACTGTATATGGTCAAACATGAACAGTAATCAAGAGCATTTTGACAAAAATGAAGGGGTTTAATCTACTCTTCTCAGCTTTTATATGCAGTTATTGATGTGACGTGGGTGAGTGTGAGGAAGGCTTGTGTAATTCTTAAGTAATCTGAGGGAGCATTAACACAACAGTTCTGCGACTGTTGTCAAAGGTTCTAACAGCCTTTCATATGCTCAGAATGAGCAGCTTATTCTGGCCAAGGTTTAGATTCCGAGGGTGGAACAAAAGGCTTAGTGTAACCTGGGGGTAGGAATCTCTAGGCACCTCACGATTCAATTACAATTGAAGAGAGCTGCGATGCGATTATAAAACAATTATCGATGCATCTTTTTTTCTATGTGATTTCTGAATAATTACTAAACATTTAATTTGCACATTAAAATCTAAAAGAAACATCTCCTCCTTAGCTTTAAAGGACAATCTTGTTCCCCTCATTTAATTTACTAACCACAGCTTCTCCTCCTTCTCTTTAATAACCAGTTTTCAGACTCTTCTGAAAGCTAAAAAATTATTTAACTATTATCAGGAAGTACAGTATGTGAACAGAACAGAGCTGTACACCAGTTTAACTTGTACCTGATGGTCTCAACCCTGGACAAGTAAGTAGTAATGACGTACAGCTAATATTAACATTTACTTTACTGATTTAGCTGGCATTACATAGCAGCCAAAACACGTGCTATACAGGGGAGATGTTAGCTAGCGCTAACTGCCTTCCCTTTCCAGCTGCTGAGGAAACGACAGACTTTTACACACTGTGACATACACTGCACGTTAACTGCCAGACTGACAACTTACTGCTAATATCTCTAATAACTCTGCTAACTTTCACTGTCACTTTCGACCACACGCTCTCTCATTCACTACGCACACACAAGACACACAGGGAGCCAGCCATGCGATGAGTGCTACCGTGCTCTCGCAGTGTGACAGTGAGAATCAGAAGTTGTCAAGTGGTCTTAAAGAGCATGTTCAATTTTAGTAGGGTGTTAGTAGGTTATTCATTCTGCAGCAGTGGTGTGCCGAACACAGGGGAACACCACGGACTGTCCGGGCGCTGCACTTCCACTTCAGAGAGTTCTGTCTTTTGCGTTCCATCATTACCTTATTAATTAACATTTAAATAATCAATTTTTGACATTTGTTAATTAATTCAGAATCTTTTATGTCTGCAACGCGATGCATCTAAGAACCTTTTTTTTTTTCCCCTCGATTTTTTGTGTAGACACAACAACTGGTGTTAACAACAACCATCTCTGTAAGGCGTGAACCGTAAAATATGCACCCTTCTCTTACCTCTGTTACCGGCAGCTCCAGCTGAACCATATCCTCAGGCTTGGCCACTGGAGGCTGGAGAGCGGTGTCCAGGAGCAGGATGCCGTTAAGGTCCTTCCTGCATCCAACTGCATAGTCGTCCACAAAAAGCACCTTGTCCACAGCGGGAAAGTACTGACACCTGACACGACCGCCAGGTTTAGCTGCAAGAGCAACAGAGGACAGCACACAGGATCAGGAGGTTTAAAGGAAAAAAGGCAAGGTCCAAAGTTACCAGCCAATAAACATGACACGTCAGTTACATTTAGCTTTGGTGGAGTAGCATTTTGAGATGATAATACAGGGAAGCACCATGTTCTTTCCGCCATCTACCAAACATTTCTTTTGACAAACAAGTCTGACTGGCCACCTTTCCACTCATACCATCAGTGTCTCTAGTCTCTACAGGCTGGATTTCATTCATTCTTCAGGGTCCTCTTGCAGTGTTGCAGATGTGAATTCCTGAATATTAAATGTTCATCTGCAGCTTTCTATAGTGGCCCAGTAATGTTTGTTCTTACTGAAGCATGTCACATGACATGGCTGAGCTCTCTTTCAGACTAAGAACATGACTATAAATATTGACTTACCGAATATTCTGCTGGCAAAATATTATTTACATCTGCTCCTGTTTTGAATTTAAAAATATAATTGGTTTAAAGTAATCTTCTATCACACTTTTACAAGACAGCCCATCACTTATCATTTATTTATGATTTTGTTTATATTACTTCCTTATTGAAATTATTTGCTTTTTTCCATATGTGTGGAGTCATGTTCTCAGATGTAGGTAGTGTAATTAGCAAATGTCTGAACTTTTGTATTCGATAAAGTGGGGAAGAAGTTGATATAAAAAAAAAACAAAAAAACTACTTTATATCCTTTATTGTAGTCGCTGTACATGAAGGCGTTCAGAAACCAATTTAGCTTGCTTTGTGGCAAAGACATTACCAGCAGAAACACTGTCGGCCTGCTCATTTTGAAATTACAGCGACCCCGCTAATGCCGCTGAGAGCAGCAAAGAATTATATCCTGTTCACATTCCAAATGTGCTTCGACTTCACATCATAAATGTTGCATCCTCATGGCGACATTTGAGGCTAGAGAATGTGCTGCCTAGTGCACACCTTTAGACAACCATGGAGAACGATACTTTCTAAATCGCAAAATATTTCTGAATGGCGTATTCATCTTTGTCTTTATTGTTAGTTAGCACTAAATTCAAGAGCCGATACCTAAATAGGAGCCACAGAGTAACTGTGCAATTCATAATCCACGTAGTTGGATAGATTATTTGACTACCAAAATAGTCGTTAGTTGCAGTCTTAGGCCTGAAGCATTTCTTTTATTTCAATAGGTTTCTGAAGGGGGCATGCCAGAAAAAGTTTGATAACCACTGGATTAACCGGACAGAATATTTATGAAACTTAATAGGTTGTCTCAACTAATAACTTCTTGATGAATATAAACAAGTGTTTCCCCCATATTCATTCAGCTGCTGAATTATGAGCGGCGCTACGAAAATTTCACACGCTCATTAATATCAATGGGCCACAGGCTTGTGCTGAGTGGATCGGCAATCGATGATCAGCGACTGGTTTTTCATGTGCTGATATTAAGGCAATTTTAACTAACTCACTATCAGAACTGAGATGACATAAAAACAGTCTCTACAACCTGCACCACACTGCAGTGTTTCCCATTCATTGATTTATTTGTGGCAACACCACTCGCCATAATATCATGCTGACCGCCACATACTGTTTAATATGAGGAAAATCATCATTCATCGCGGAGCTGCGCACAGCACATAGATTCACTCAGCCCCTTAACCAGTGAGTAAAAATTCCCCTTCACCAGGGAACACACCATATTATCTTTTACTGAGTGTGCCCATACATACAAATTATTTTTATTCATCTATTTTCAAGACACCAGGCTTGGCATACATATGTAATATATGTAATAAAAACAATAAACGAGTCATGTTTTTTATCCCAAATCACTTGTGGCAGTCGTCTTGCAACATAATCTACGGGTAAGGTGACTCTCCAGCTGCTGTTATTGCCACATACTTCAGTTCAACATAAACAAATGTGTACACAGTGAAGAGTACAGTCGGCCATAATTTGAAACCAAACCTGTCCCTGCAGATCCCACTAATGAGAAATCCACCATTGTGTCCCTGAGCAAGACACTTAACCCCTAGTTGCTCCAGAGGTGTGCGACCTCTGACATATCAATTATAAGTCACTTTGGATAAAAGCGTCAGCTAAATGAGTAAATGTAACATCCAACAGATCTTACTATGGAATTTTGCACTACTTTGTGGGGCTGAACAATTAAGTGAAATTGCAAAATGACCAAATGCAATAGTCAAATCACAGGAGCTGCAATTTTTTGATGAAGGTAAAATGTGTCACAACATCCCATTATATATGAAGGATTGTGATGCTTACAAATCATATTTTCCAGACATGAGGGAACATGCTTGTTTGGAACAGACCACAGCAAGTCACATCAGCATTTTTTTAATAAAAATGAAACGCAAAATTACCTTTCCCACTAAAATTGTGACTTATAACGCAATCGCAGTATCTGTCAAAATTGCCATTTCTTGCTTGTTTTTTTTGCTTGCAGAGGGGACAAAACTTCTATTAAAACATCCACTTTTCCATTTGAGTGTCCAATATGCGACAAGGTGGAAGTCAAGTGCAAAATGGGTAGTCCAGGATCATGTTCTGTAGTGCGTGCCATGCGAGTGATTAATGAGATTTACAGTATATTATTTTGCTCTACGAACGCTTTATATCCAGGTCATCAGCGAAAGCTGTCAATGTCAAAGGCAACTGACAGATGCCCTTAAACAGATATTAATGTTACATTTTATCTGGAAAGGATTTCTTTAAAAGATACATCATACGTGTTTATGTATCATTAAAGAGCTCATTAAATTTTAGTAAATTAACACCGTTTGATAATACAGCACTGTGGTGATGCAAGTTCACCAAAGAGAATTAAGAATCAATCAGCCAACAACTGGCTCCACTGTAAACAGCTCCAACTTTTTATCCCCACTTCTATATCTGTTCCAAAACTATTTCTTGGTATATAATAAAATTTCAGAGACCCATATGTGTCTGTTTTAGTGGTGTTTTATATGCAGATATAAAGCAGAGCCTTGCTGCTACAACTCAACCCTAGGGAAAACACTGCAGGGGATTGGGAGAGCAAAGATTTTGGAAGCAATGTGTGTGCTATGAGACAACTTGTTCTTGCTGGAGACAGACATCATGGTGAGGAAACAGCAGGCACAGTACAGTATTATGGACTGAATTATGTCTTTGTAAAGCAGTAACAGAAGAAGAGGAGCAACAGAGAGGGCTTTCAGTTTATGAATGGCAGAGAGTTTTGGTATAATTGGTAAAGGGCAACTTCAGGTATTGTAATGAAATAATAATCACTGGTATCTTTTTAGGTTGATATCCTTGGCCAATTTCACAGGAGCATAAACTACAACAAAATGAAAGCAAAACAAGATTTCTGGCTTTCATAATCCTATAATTAGCAAAGAACGCAGGTTATATTTTAAAGGTACATCTGTAAAAGCGGAATACTGATTTACTGCATTAGTTGCTCTGCTTTGTTAGCAGTCACATTCACTGTGTGACATATTCTATCTGTTGGGATATTTTGGAACATGAACTGGGTAGGCGTAGCATAAATGCAGAGAAGTAAATATGCTTTGATCATGAACGTTAGTTTTTCCACAGGAAAAGACTATACAATGTAAATTCCACAACTACATGGAAACCTTTCAACCATCCAAACACTGTGTCTGTTTCCATTCTGTCTTTGGGTTTGTCATCCTCTATTAATGAGTCTCAAAACAGATGACATGGACAGCATGGACAGCAATGTGCCCCCCCCCCCCAAAACAAGGTATGAAACAGATCTGGATATAATATAACCATCCACCCAGAGAAGGCTGAACCGGGCTGAACCTTCTATTCATCACGACGACAGGCTGACTCACACAGCATCAGCTCTTACTTGAAAACAGGGAGCTGAAAATGAACTGAAAGTAAAGTGAAGATCAACAGCTCAGTGAGTCTATCTGTTGAATATCTCCCTTTCCCTTTCAGAAGGTGTAGGGTTACTTTTATGTACACTATGAACATGCAACGTAGCAATATTCTATTAACATTAGCTATTTGCTGCATAAACGTTCCTCTAAAAACCTAAATGGATGTGGTGGTTGTTTGTAAGACTTATGGGTATTCCATCAAACACAGATGTATCTCCTACTTCCACAAAAAAAGTTGGCCATCTGTTACAAACCTTAAGTCGGCTGCAGCCTATCAAACTCAACAGCCAGTGCAAAATAACAAGAGGTATATAGAGATAGTTTGTAAGCAACTGTGGGTGTAGTAATACTGTTTACAGTCGACAGCTTTATTAACTAAAACTAGAGTACTGGCTGTGGAGGATACCTCCCCTTCCAAGAATTACTCTAAAATCATAGTAAATGCAGTGTATGTATGGGAACAAAGTAGTTGAAAACATTTTGTTTAATGATGACCGTCTAGACGAATGCTCCTCCGGAAATATTGACACCCATCAGCAGGTTAGCATCGTAAACAGATGGTAACAATGTCTGTTACCCGTCTACAGGACACGCAATCTAAGTGTGTTCATTCATTTCTCTTTCATAACTTTAACAACACTATCACACATGGTACGGTGTGTAAACAAAGCAGAGGACAGTGATCAACGTTGTAGATTGCAAGTGAGCGCGGAGAGCAGCTTGAGAAAACTCTTGGGGAACCTGGTATGCAATCTAACGCTACTGTCAGTACACTGTGACAGGACACTGCGTGCTGACATGTAACATCAACAAGACAAGTAGGCTGCTTACTCGACTGAATTAGTCAAGTTAGCCCAGAAAGCAAACATGGTTCCATTAACGTTACACCAACTCTACAGCATCAATTCAGTTTACTTTCAGCATCACACCTATGCCTTAAAATGACTTGCACGATAAACTGTAAAGTTAATAAGCTATATAGCAGCTAGCTAGCTTAGTGGCTATCACAGTAATTCACATTAACACACTGCACTGACTTAACTAAGTAACATTAGGCGTGCTACTCCGGGTGTCCAGGATAGGAATCGTGCGTTGTAAACTGTATATCGTGACTGACCACTAGAATGACAGGGAAGGTTGCCCGGCTAACTAGCGTTGTGCTAATTTAACTTGCTAGCCAATAGCTTGCATGGTAGATATGTCATGTTCCAAATGTGGTCAACTGTAGCAAACACTGGCGTTCAAGAATCACTAGTTTTTACTCTACACTACAAACAAATCGACGTCCAAAGATTTTATTTTATTTTTTGCAAAAGCAGAACAGGCGAAACGAATCATGTTAAAAATAATCTAACAAGGCCCAAATATAACTGCTAGAATCAGCTAACGTTAGCTAGCTGAGGTTACAAATCAGCCTGTGTCGTGTTTAGTGTCTGTTGTCAGTCAGTGGTTGGTTTGTCAAAACTGAAACTGTTGTTGTCAGGGCTTGACAGAGGGCTCCGGTGCTTACCATGCAACGCTGAAGCCTGGAGAATGGCCCCCGAAGTGCCGTCAATTACTTTGATGCTGCCGCGGCTGGTGACGGCCAAGATAGCGTTGAGGGCCGGGTGGTAGGAAAGGCTTCGCAGGCCCACCTCGTCGCAACGCAGGCAACCGTCTCTCAGTACAATCCAGTCTGAGGAGGTGGACGAGCCGGAGCCCGGCGAGGCCGCGGCCGCCATCTTCCCTTATTTTTCCCTTCCCTTCCCTTCTGGGGTTTGTAAGGATCCGATGATACACGTAATACTGCTAAATCTATAAGACTAACTCCGAACTATCACTCCTTTGCCACTGCTGACTCCTTCTGCGGCTTCTTCTCCTCCGCCCGTTACGGCAGCAGTGGCTATTCACCATCAGCGCTGAGGAACTCCAGGCTGGGCTTTCTGTCAGCTACACGATAGGTAAACGGAGCTAGCGTATCTCTGTGTCACCTCCCGCGATAACACCAAGTGCCAACGAGAACAACGGATGACCAAAATAACAGGAACACCAAAATAATAGCTCTGCAGAAATAAAGACAAGTAACCATCAGTTGATGCAGTCCAGTTCAATGACACCACAAACTACTCCCTCAAGCATTAGCATGCAGCTGAATCTGACACTTTGACTCAAAACTGCACATTAGAGCCTCACAGATGAAGCCTAGAATTTATTGTACTGGACGACATTATACAGGCCCTTTACTAGGACTGCAACTAGCAATGTATTTTTACTATCGGCTTCAGCCTTTGCAAAAAAGACAGAAAATAGTGAAAAATGGCCTCAAATTGCTTGTTTTGTCAGAGCAACAGTCTGACGGCCAAATATATTAACATTTACAATTTCATTTAAAAGGAGAAGCAACAAATCCTCTTTTGAGAAGCTAAGCAAATGTTTGCCATTTTTTCACGATCAATTAAAAATGATTAATGTATTATCACAGTTGTTATGAATTAATTTTCTGCCCATAGACTATTCTATTATTAATTCATAATTTCAGCATCGCCTGTAAATTATAATGGTCATGCAATCATAGTCATAAAAAGCATCAAATGCTTACTTAAATTAAGCATTGACAAATGGTTTCATAAAATAATATGTCATTAAAATTAAAATTAAATTAAAATTAAAATAACCTGCATTTTGTGTTGGGCAACTCAAAAATTACTATACCACTGTCTAAAAATTCTCCAGTGGTCAGTAAAAGTCCTGCATTGAAAATGTTACTTGTAAAAAAAAATATAAAGTCATCAGCAGTCACATGACAAAACAACCTGATGGTGTTTTATTGTTGCTGCTGATTTTAATCAAACAGACTTCAGATGTGTTTTTACCTAACTTCCACCAGCATGTCCACATCCCCACCAGAGGAACAAAGGCACTGGACCACGTTTACACCAATATTCCTGGCAGCTACAAAGCCTTCCCCGCCCCCATTTTGGTCTATCAGATCATATTTCTCTGCTTCTCCTGCCCACTTACACCCAGCTGATTAAAAGGGTCAAACCAACAATTAAAACAGCCAAAGTGTGGACAGATGAATCTACAGCAGCTGTGCGGGACTGTTTTGGGAGCACAGATTGGAGCGTGTTCAGAGGGGCCACTACCCAGGAGAGCGACTAGTGGCCTTTTATTGTGGCCAGCCTAAGGCACACCTGTGCAATCCCCATGCTGTCTGATCAGCATCTTGATATGCCACAACTGTGAGGTGGATGGATTATCTCGGCAAAGGAGAAATGCTCACTGCTCTCTAACAGATTTTGACAGATTTGTGAACATTATTTGAGAGAAATAGGCCTTTTGTGTACATGGAGAAAGTCTTAGATCTTTGACGCAAAAACAAAAGTGTTGCATTTATAATTTTGTTCAGTGTAAAAAGTCTGCAGTATCCGGTATGAACGACTACCGCCCTGTGGCTCTCACCCCCTTTCTGATGAAGTGCTTTGAGGAACTGGTTCTTCAGCACATAAAGAACAACATCCCAGCCAGCCTGGACCCTCAGCACTTTGCTTTCAGAACCAACAGATCCACAGAGGATGCCATCTCCACTGCCCTCCACTCAGCCCTCACACACCTTGAGAAAAACAACACCTACGTCAGAATGCTGTTTGTGGATTTCAGCTCAGCGTTCAACACAATCTCCCCATGAAGCTGATCAGCAAACTCAGCACTCTGGGTTTAAACACAACACTCTGCAGCTGGATACTGGACCTCCTCACAAACAGACCCCAGACAGTTCGGATTGGTGGACTCACCTCCTCCACTCTAGTGCTCAACACCGGAGCCCCCCAGGGCCGTGTGCTCAGCCCCCTCCTGTTCACGCTGTACGCCCACGACAGAAACCCTCAACTTGACTGGTGCTCAGAGAACAAGCTACTGCTCAACGTCAGCAAAACTAAGGAGCTGATCGTTGATTTCAGGAAAAAAGAGATGAAGACACACTCCTGTCTCCATCAGTGGAGCTGAGGTGGAGCAGGTGAACAGTTTCAGGTTCCTGGCAGGGCTCTGCAGGGGGGGATTCAAACTGCTCAGAAGATCATTGGTACCCATCTCCTGAACATCAGTGATATCGGTGAGGTGAGGTGTCTGCAGAGCCCAAAGGATACTAAAGGACAGTACCCACCCAGCCACAGCCTGTTCACCCTGCTGCCTTCTGGGAAGACATATAGAAGTTTCTGCTGCCGCACCACCAGACTGCAGAGCAGCTTTTCCCCCCAAGCTATCAGACCCTTAAGCTCAAATTCATCCTCAGCACTGCTCCATTGAATAGAGTTTATTTCTGTTTACCATTTTTACAATTGCTTTTATATTACTGTATATTGTCTGCTACGTAGCAGAAGAGAGTTACAAACTCAATTTCATTTTACAACCTGTTGTAATGTGACAAATAAAGTATAATCAGGAAAATGTACTTAAAGTTGTACAAAATGTACAAAAGTAAAACTACTCCGTACAGAAAAATGTTACTACAATTGTACAGCCTTTTAATAATATAATAATAATGTAATAAAAAATAATAGTATGATAGAACACAGGAGCCTCATTGAATAATAACACAACACTGTTTTATGGAGGATTTGCCTGAGCTGATATTGAACCCAGAGCCTCGCAAGCTAAAAATGAAAGCTGACCATTAGGTATTAACAAAGGAGCCCCCTGACATCAGAAGCACAAACTGACATTTTGTTGAGAGAAAAAAAATATTTAGATTTTCTAAAATGAAGCTTTTAGGTCAGAAATGTGAACACTTTTAGTGGCAGTATGTATGTAGGTGTAAGCTCAAAAACATATTGCCAGCACCTGGGTCTGACTCACACCTTTGGATCTAAAAGGTTTCAACACAGTTCACATAGACTGCCATTATAATTTTATTTTTTTAACACAAAATGCTATTTTATTATGTTACAGAAAAGGATTAGCATAAATCTCATTATGAACTGAAGTGTGTATGAGAAACAGTACAGGAGTAAAAAGAGGACAAAACCCGGCAAAATAATAAACCTGTGTGAGCTGCAAGCTGTCAACATCTGCTGGAGTTTTTTCAGGACCTTTAGCGCCACCTGCAGGTAAAATTGTCTCAAACATTATAGACTCAATGGAGTTAAACACTGCATTAACAAGGCTGACTTTGCCAAAGTTTTTTGTCTGTCTGTCAGTTGGTCCATCAATTTGGTCTGAACTGAAACTACTCATCACATATTGGATGGATTGCCATGGAACTTTGTAAAGACATGTTGTTTACCAGAGGATGAATCCTACTGACTGTTGATCCCCTGACTTTTGACATTTGTGGGCCTTTCTTGAAATATCTTGGCAAGTGTTCAGTGAATTCTTATGAAATTTGGTTCGGATATCCATGGTGTCCAACTTCTGCAGGATGGATTGGTACAAAATGTGGTAAGCTACAGGCATTCATGGTTCCCAGATGATGTCTCCTAATGACTTTGGTGTTCCACCAAGAGCATGGCATGTGGTTATGAGTGAAATGAAATGTCAAAGCCATTAGATGGATTTCCATGAAATTTGGTACACACATTCATGTTCTCCTCAGAACGAATTGTAATCACTTTTCTGACTTTTTAAATCTCATGCTTATCAGGTCAGAATCTCCATTTTTCCAATTCTTTGGTTTATGACCAAATACATCCAAAACTAATGTCGTTCCCATCAGCCTCAGCTGTACTTTGCGTTTAGTGCTAATTAGCAAATGTTATACCTGCTTAACATTAGCAGTTAGCATGTGTTGTTCGACCAGCAGTTCAAACCACTAAATATAATAATATTAACTAAATGGTGCATCAATTATTTAAATTCCTATTGAATTTCCTGTTGATCAGCCATTCATTGAGTTTATCGTTTCATTTATCTTACCTTTGCTTATTATAAAAAAAGATTCAGACTTATTTTGTGACTTTATTGTGTGATTGTAATTGTCAATTAGTGGTCATTTGTTATAGATTGTTCTGTTTCTTGAAACAGACTTATGCCATGTTTTTTTTTACAGGGTTTCCACATTTTATAAAACAGGATAAAGAGCATACAGTGTTTAACAAATGTAGTGCTAAACTGATTGAGTATTGGCTAATCAATGAACCAACACAAAATTGATTAGTTTTGATAATAATCAGTTACTAAAGTTAAAAACACATCATTTGCTGGTTAGACCTTGTGAAATGTTATGCTTGGTCATCTGTTTCATATTCACTGTAAAGCGCTACTTTTGGGTATTAAGCTGTTATAATAACCTAATGGACGTGATCTCTTTAGACATTTACAGAAATCAGTAATGATTTGCAGCTTTAACACACAGCCCTTGCAAATGAAAAGAATCAAAAACCACATGTGGTTCTACGATGAAGCTGAGTTATGTGAACGTCATACAGAGGCATGTATTGAGACAGAGAAATTGTCTTGGGATTTTTCAGAGAAGGCTCCGAGCCTGATGTTTTAAATTTACGTAGTGTTGCTCAGATGGGAATATGGCTTGGCCTTTAACTTTGACCATGAAATGTTATATAGCCATTCATGGTCCACTGAGGATGAATCCTAATAACTTTGGTGATCCTGTAACTCTTCACCCAGCACTATCATCAGGTCAAAATTTATGTGTCCAATATTTTGGGTTTTGACTAAATCCTTGCAAAACTACTGACGTTCCATCAGTTTCACATGTACTGTTTTGTGCTAAACAGCAAATGTTGGCATACTAACATACTAAAAAACTGCCTGTCCCAAATCCATACTACATACTTGCTCTAGCAGTATGTAGCCTAGCATGTTTCCACTGGAAAAGGGGCAAAATAAAGTACACTCAAACCAGACAGCATGCACACTTGGTATTTTTTGAGTGTGCTGTTGATGAACTCTATTCTCCCACAATAGAATGTGCAAAGAAAGTGAAGCAGCAGCTCACAGCTGAGGAAAAAACAAGATTGGCGGTAGTGACGAGACAGTACCAGAAATAATTTGGAAAACAGAAATAAGTATTAAAGAAAGACATTTTGGCTTGTCTTTGTGAAGTTTAATGGCTAAGGAATTCCAAAGTCAATCTCTTTTTACACTAACTGCCAAAACACTATACTATGAGTAGCAGTATGTAGTACTGTATATACAGCATAGTAATACTATGGTAGGAAGGTGGAACATTATAGCTGCTAAACAGCAGGTTAGCTTTGTCATTGTGCTGTTAGCATTTAGCTGTACAGCCTCACAGAGCCACAAGCATAGCTGTGGACTTTCAGTGTGCCTTTTTGAGTGTGCTTAATTTGTTTGTCTTAAAACATTGAGTTAATGTGTATTATAGAACAAACTAATATTTTTTCTAGGTGAATCCAATGTGTTGTAACAATCTTAAGGGTGTTACAATTTACAGAACTATATCACTATATTAGTGACCAGCTGTGTTTTCTGTATATAATGCAGTAATCAAACAGGAAAGACCACATGTTAAATCACAATATCTATTGATTTTCTGTAATAACGGATCAAATTATTATATTCCTGTATTGAACGGTTGAAAACAGGACTCAGGTGGGAAAACAAGGCACCACATTTAGAAGACAATTGTTTATATCACTCCAATTGCCCTAGTCGACTTGCAATCCATAAATATAGAAAACAAGTCTATGAAAATGAAAAGCATAAATGGACATATCTCATAGTACATTACAATGGATAACAATGAAGAACATTATGCTCTACAATCTCTTTCTTTCTGTGTCTCTTTCCTCTTCCTTCAGCATGAACATATACACACAGATATTTGGCACCATATACTTCAGTGGGATAAAGAGTCAAAATAAATCAATAAATTAAAGTTCAACCCTGAGCCCATTTCCTGCTTCATGAATTACAAGTAAATGCAGGACTGTGGGGGCTGTACTGCACTGGTGAACCACAAGTCTGAATACAGTTTAAGCTGTAAAAGCAGATGCATTTTATTGACTGAAGACATAAAGGGACAAAATTGTATATACACACCGATTTATATTCTAAACATCCCCACCTTTGAATTTGACAGAGTTAAAAAAGAAATTCTCTTTTAAAAAAATCCTGTCTTCCATAGCATTTTCCTGCCCGTGCTCCAGGATCACTGTCCATGAAAAGGTCCACAGATTTAACTCATCCAGTCACACACCAGTATATAGTGATAGGAAGTAGATATACAAAAGGAAAATGGGATATATGAGAAGGGGCTTCTTTGTTTTAAACTGATCTCCGACGAGCAGTGAAGCGGCACTGTAAGCAGCCCAGAACACTCCAAACAGCTGAAAGAGCAGAACAGACAATAAAGTATCATCAATATATCTGACTGAGAAGTATCGCATCATATCACATTTGTCCTCACATAGGAAAAATATAGATACCAGCCTATTCATGGGAGTTATTGTGTTTAGATGCTGTTTTTGGACTAAACATTTATTGCACTCTTGGAAGCTTTATTTCCTGTGGCTATCCTGTGTAGACACAGTTTAAGTGTTTACAAATGGAAATCCAACATGCCGCTTGTTTTCCAAGCTGACTGCTTGATAAGGGTGCACTATTAAGCTTTGGGTTTGAACACTTATTTATGATTATGGCGGAGGTTAAATATATTAATCATTTTAACAAGAACAACATTTTTAAACAGTGTATGACACAGCAGACCAGTGTCCACTGTGTACCTAGGCCTGCAAACTCAAGTGCTGTGAAACCGTGTGAATACACAATGCAAAAATAGGCCTGGTCATTTTCTCTGCCTTTCATGTGATGCCATGCGCCTCTTTCTCTTCTTGGACCACTTCTCTCTGCTTCACTTGAGGACAGCGAAACTCCACTGACCATGTTGTGCAGCATTGTGACGTCAGACAGACCATACACACAGGAGAAGCAGTCAAGGAAGAGTAGCAGACGTAGCAGATGTTCATCCTGGCTGTGAATGTGATCAACTCTGTGCTTTTCTGGAGAGTTAATGTACATTACAATGCCACAGGTATGTAGGATTTTTCACAGAAAATAACAGGCGCAGGTGTTTTGACGCACATCAGACATTGTTGGCTACAATGCCTTTACAAGCCCATCACAGTGACATTAGATTCTTCTTCCTAGCAACTGTTATCACACACACTATCCATCTGAAGTTTCAGTTTTACATAACATGAAAAATAAAATGTTAATGTGTTTAATATTAATGTGTGGTTTTTGACTCACTTTGATTAGTGTAGAAACCACCTCGAACCCTCCGATCACTAAGAGCAGAGGGGCTATAACGATGAGAGGAAGAAGGGAATATCCAATCACTCCGAGAACCTGGCCGAAGGAAACCTGCTCAAAAGAACAGCAGGGGTCCATAAAAAAAGTTTGAGGCATGCATGACTGTACGTTGACTGACTGCAGAAGATAACTAGGTGTTAGCTGTACTTACCTCACCACCGAGAACACGAGCCAGCAGGAAGATTGTTAGCGATCCAAATATCCAGATGGTGATAATCCAAGACACAACCTGCGAAAGAAAAGCAGTTTACTGTCAACACTAACATCCCATCCACACATTTAATCATATATATTAACAGCTCCACAAACGTCTTTAAATGAATTTTGTAAACAAGCAGCATTCACTGATTTCCCCTCCTACACCATGAATGATGGTACATATTGTATATCCATTATCACAGATTCTGCCTTTGTTTCCACTGTTCTCCAAACACTTAGGGAACAAGTTTCTAGAAGTAAATTTGAGCAGTGTTCAAGAGGTGATACTACTGGAAATGCAAGTTCCAGGTACTTTCAGGGGTTAGCGGCAAAACTGTCGGTTTTCAACACAGGGTTTTAGATCAAGATGAAGTTATAGTTCCTTTTATGCTACTCACAAAACAATCATTAGGCCTATCTACAGAAATGAGTAGATGGGTGAATCTAACAAGTCATAGATATAAATAATTTTACATGGTGCAATGGTGAGGATGAACGGAGGAGTCTCAGTCTGAGGGGAAAAGCTGCTCTGCAGTCTGGTGGTGCGGCAGCAGAAACTTCTATATGTCTTCCCAGAAGGCAGCAGGGTGAACAGGCTGTGGCTGGATGGGTACTGTCCTTTAGTATCCTTTGGGCTCTGCAGACACCTCACCGATATTACTGATGTTCAGGAGATGGGTACCAATGATCTTCTGAGCAGTTTGAATCCCCCCCTGCAGAGCCCTGCCAGGAACCTGAAACTGTTCACCTGCTCCACCTCAGCTCCACTGATGGAGACAGGAGTGTGTCTTCATCTCTTTTTCCTGAAATCAACGATCAGCTCCTTAGTTTTGCTGACGTTGAGCAGTAGCTTGTTCTCTGAGCACCAGTCAAGTTGAGGGTTTCTGTCGTGGGCGTACAGCGTGAACAGGAGGGGGCTGAGCACACGGCCCTGGGGGGCTCCGGTGTTGAGCACTAGAGTGGAGGAGGTGAGTCCACCAATCCGAACTGTCTGGGGTCTGTTTGTGAGGAGGTCCAGTATCCAGCTGCAGAGTGTTGTGTTTAAACCCAGAGTGCTGAGTTTGCTGATCAGCTTCATGGGGAGATTGTGTTGAACGCTGAGCTGAAATCCACAAACAGCATTCTGACGTAGGTGTTGTTTTTCTCAAGGTGTGTGAGGGCTGAGTGGAGGGCAGTGGAGATGGCATCCTCTGTGGATCTGTTGGTTCTGAAAGCAAAGTGCTGAGGGTCCAGGCTGGCTGGGATGTTGTTCTTTATGTGCTGAAGAACCAGTTCCTCAAAGCACTTCATCAGAAAGGGGGTGAGAGCCACAGGGCGGCAGTCGTTCAGACCGGACACTGCAGACTTTTTAGGTCCAGGACTGATGGTGGCTGTCTTGAAGCAGGTGGGAACCCTCTCCTGAGACAGTGAGATGTTGAAAATGTCAGTAATAACATCAACTAGCTGATTGGCTCTGGTTTTTAGTACACGGCCCTGGATGTTATCAGGCCCAGCTGATTTACTCATATTCACTCTCAGCAGGACTCTCCTCACATCTGCTGTGGATACTGACAGGGGCCGGTCCTCTGGAGGTGGAGTACACTTATAGCTGACTCCTTGTTGAGGAGATAAACACAGTGGATATTTTACAGAACGGACCAGGTAAAGCAAAAGTGAACTGTGAACACACCAGTGCAGATGTCACATGTTACCACGTTGGTTTCGATTGTTTCGATAGGCTACGTCATTAACAAGCCTCCTCCACATATGGCACACCTGCTGCTGAAAAAACGGTGTTTGCAGTAAGAAACCAGAGGTGTAGGTGAGAGTGAGTATGGGGAAAAGACAACTGAAGTGAAAAGCAAGGTGAGCAGATTCAAGTAGTGAGGAAAAACTAAAACACTAAAATAAGGTGGATAATAAAGTAGAATTAAAATAAGAATGAACTACTAGAAATAAAAAAATATACCCCGCTAACCCAGCCCATTTCTCAGCATGTGACAGGAATCAACCCACTGTCAAACAGGTCAAACAAGTCAGCCAAACAACTGACTTGTTCCAGTCCATGCCCTGCCCTGGATTCAGCGTGAAACAACAACAATAAGCACACATTCACTGCTGTCTTTCCTACAAGCGTTCAATAGCCTACCAAACAGCACACTGAAATATAGTTGGTCTCTGTACACTTTTTTAATGATCTATTTCCAAATCGTACCAGCTCGTAAAATACAGTTTAAATGTAAGGAAGAACCCAGTACCAAAGCTTCACAGGATTCACAAAAGTTCGGCTCATGGGGAGCCCCAGGGAAACACAGTTGACTTCATGAATGCAGATGATACAGTGAGTGTTCACTGTGTCGTGCTCACCCTGAACTGTCCATAGATCGAGATCATGGAGAAGAGCAGCACCACGGCTAGAGGACCCCAGAAGTCCGGGTTGTCTCTGACCACCTGCCGGTTATAACCCAGCGAAGGCATTGGCATCAGCACACATCGAATCTTGTAATAGATGTCCTTCAGGTCAATGTCCAGCTCCTCCCTGCTCACACAGATGAGAAAACATTATAAATATGTAAATGCTCTGTATTTGTAGACTTTCTAGTCTTTTTGACCACTCAAAGCGCTTTTACACTACATCTGCATTCACTATTCACACACATTCATACAACAGGGGTTCAGTATCTTGCCCAAGGACACTTCGTCATGCAGCCTGGAGGAGCCGGGGATTGAACCGCCTCTCCATCAACAGGCAACCCGCTCTACCTCCTGAGCTACAGCCGCCCCAATACCCCCCTATCTTTTAATACACCTATTAAACAGAAGTTCCCATTATATTGCAATACTGTGGCCATGATGTGTGACTGGAGCTGGTGGTGCTCACAACACTGTGTCTGCTCCTGATTAAAGCTACTCAGCTGGCAGGCATGTCCTCAGTATACCAGCGTGCTCTCTGACTGTAACTTAGAGATGCATGATCAATCTGAGTGTGCAAGTTTTGAATGCACTAAGGCTGTTCCTGTTCGGGTTCCTGTTTATAGACATTTTGTAGTAGTAAAAGTATTGTCTGAGCTGTCATAAGTGGACACAGCCAGATCCACCAAACACCACCAACTGGCTGGGAACAGGTGGCGTCAGACAAAAGTTGTGCTTTTGTTGAAAAAAAGATAAAGACCAGATAAAACAAAGGCCTGTGTTAAAAAAGACTCACAGAAGAGGTTTGCTCTCCTCACTGTCGTCCTCTTCTACCTCCAGCAGCCAGCCATAGCCTCGCTGCCTCAGGAAGGTAGTAGCATATGGGTCTTTACCGCTGTCACTGCCCATGTTCAGTTTAATGTCCGGGGCACTGATGGTCCCGCTGAGCTCTGTGGAGAACAGGTTTGTTTGCAGAGTTAAGTGTTTGATCATCAAGTACATACACTGACAGGATGTATGACAAAATCCCACAAACACAATATAAATGTTTAACAGTTGTAAGGGAACTCATTTCTCTGTTTGTGGTTCAAAGACACCAAATTTAAAGGAGCATTACACTAATTTACACAAATTCTACCCTTGTTTATACCCTAAACATCATTGAACGTTTGAGTAGAAAAACATCTATCTAAACTAGAGTTTAAACAATTAGTCAATAAACAGAAAATTATATTATATCATCAACTGTTGCTGAAAATACTAGGTACTTGATGGTTCGCGCTTTTTCACTGTGAGTATTTGCTGCCTTTTCCTGTAAATTGAATATCTTTGGGTTTGGACTAGAGCCCGACCGATATGGGATTTTTAAGTCCGATACCGATTTCAATATTTGAGGATTTTAAAATCTGATAGCCGATATATCGGCTGATATTCTTTTCCCCCCTTATTTTAAGAAATACATAACATAAACAAAGATTATCCCTAACATTTGTTATGTTGAGACCTCACCAAGATGTTTAGGCTACACTCCGCCCAAACGCAGTGTGGAGTCAGCTGTGGTCATGGTACTGTAAATTAACTTGTGATACAACAGCTGTATCTATCGTCGCTCATGTCTCAATCACTCACTCACTTAGCAAACACACTCAGAAGTTGTGGCCGGAGTGTAACCTAAACATCCACACTGTTTCACTTACAGGCTGGATGACAAATTGTTCTCACATCACCTCAACGTCAGATAAATAACGATACATGATACAAATGTTGACTGGCAAGACAATAGTGTTAATGATGGCAAAGATAGCGGAATATAAACATGATCGATGGTACGAAGCTGTATCACAGGTTAATCTGGGCGCTCTGCCACAGCTAAAAGCGGTCTCCACTTTGCAGTCCATCTGAACGTCAAACACCTCAGTCTGTTTCTCTTATGCAAGTAAGAACAGATTAAAACCGACAGTGGCACAAATCAGACAGACAACATGAACATTTTGGTAGTTTATTGACGTTTTGCAGGGTTTTGAACAGCGACACAGTCACCTCCATTATCACGCTGAAAGTCCTCGTTTTAAACTAATTTGCAGGTGGGAAAGGTCCCTGTGAATCATCGTGCAGCTATGATGTAGCCTACAAACTACATTCATGCATATATCTACCATGACCATACATTACGCAGATAAACAAAGTTATCGGAACGTATTTCCTGGTTAGCAAAAATGGATCCTGAAGCCACTCCTGCGACAAAACTGGGACTATCACCAGTTAATCTATCCACCACTTAAACTGTCACACCGGCAGAGCCAACTGCAGTCAGCTGATGTGGTTGGCAAACTATGCAACACTCATGACATGGAAGGATCCGACTCTCCGTTTCTCTTTATTAATAGTCATATATCGGCTGTTATAAACGCTGATGCAGATGTATCTGCAAGTAGCTTATATCGGCCGATAATATCTGCAAAATGATAAATCGTTCGGGCTCTAGTTTGGACCATCAGTTGAAGAAAAATAAACAAAAAAAGCAATTGAAAAGACCCTGTCTTGGACTGGGCAATTTTCAGTATTTTCTGATCTTTTATAGGCTAAACGAGTAATTAACTAATCAGGAAATAATCGGCTTAATTGATAAACTGATTTAAAATAAATGAGAAATTAAACATTGGCTGCAGCTCTACCCTAAATACACCCCACCACCTTTTACCTCACTTCCTCATATAACAGACTGCTCACCTGTTTTACCTGTTTTTAATATTCAAGGACAATTCTGCTTATTGTACAGCTTCAGGTAAAATCTACTTGACTAGTGTACATTATTCCATCATATTACTGTACAGCGTGTGTTTACTCATCTATCTATCTAAGTGTATATAACACATATGTTCATCTATCTATCTAAGTCTATCTAAGTGTATATAATCCAACATGTAAACTTTCATTTAAACACCTAACTTAATCACGTTGTTATGAAATCTGTTTATAAGCTTATAAAAGGTTTAGTGTCATGTATAAATAATCAAGTCAGTTAACGTTATAGAGAATCATTCCCAGTCTCCGGAGTCGGAGTGAAAGTTATATTTTGGTCATGATAGCTAACTTCAGCGTCCTTACAGAGCATTATCACTGCAAGAGAAACTCTAAGATTTTATTTTAGTGGCCTCGAAACAATAAGCAGGATCAAATAAAGCCGTCCGTTAGCTACGTTCGTTAACATGTCTCTGCACTGAAATTAGTTGGCAAAACTAAACATTAGCTTTCACATTTAATTATATGTAACAGTAAGTACAGAAGCTATTTCGAATAGCACAGTGTCGGCCACATGTAAAGAGTATTTTTATATAGAGTACCAGAATGATAAAATAAAATACAGCACGTAAACAGGTAGCGCTATGTGTTAGCTCTGACACGGCCTGCTAGCGTTGCAGCCCTGCTGGCGTTAGCCTAACGTTACCTTCAGCCTCTGTCGAAGACACGAACGTGAAGTCTCCGTTGGTTGGAGTGAACTGCATGGTTGCTTTTCTATTACTTCCACGCGCCTCAGCTACAAACAAATAACATTTACTAAGCAGTCAGTGAAATATGTCGGGAAGCGTCAACAACGCTGTCATTGACCACAGCTCATCAGTGAAGTTTAACTATCGCATTTTGTTTTTGTTCTGTGTCGATCTTCTTCGGTGGAAAGCAGGAAGCTGGGAAATGTGACACGTCTTGTGATGCATTCAAGTCACGTCATGAAACTGGGACATGGCACAGCTTACTAGAAAATACATCTCCACAGAGAGATGTACTTGTTTATTATCCAATTAATGTGAACATGAAACCTACAGATTTTTGTCTTATTAGTAATTTTTCATAACATGACAACTTCGTCTGAATTTTGGGAGGTGATTGTTCTTTTATCTTAATTGTTAAATGAACGACGTTAGGAAGCGATCACTCCTAGGGCAGGGGTCATCATAATCCTACTTTTATTCAAGGGCCAGAATTTCTCTAAGCAACACCATGATGGTTTAATGGTTTTTACACAAAATGAACATTTCTAACCCTATATCACTGTGAACAGACCCTTAAAAATATGGTAAATCCATAATGATAAGTAGCCTACTTAATGAGTTTGAATGAATTTTTATTTTTATTTTTTATTACTATTGCAAGACAAAATAAACAACACTGACATGGTGATACAAAGGGAACAAGACATGAGAAAGGAAAAAATTAAAAAAGAGCGTCAATACAACAGACCAACTTTTCATTTAGAATATAAAATAAGAAGAAATAGTCAGGTCCTTCTTGCAAAAGATATCTAGATCTCAATAAGATTTCCTGATTAAATAAAGGTTATCATGAAATTGTTAAGTGTAAGCAACTGTTTAATTGGAAGTTAATGGGGAGCAGAAAGAATTACATTGAGGACTATTTATATCAGAGTAATTAAATCCATTTTGGGTATGCAGCAAATCCTTTCTAAAAAAAAACAACAAGAAGAGATTGAACCATGTGTTTTCAACAGTAACATGTTTGGCTTTGATAATAACTTTGGGGACGAGAGTTTAAGAAATTCTGTTATCATTGGAGATAAATTTAAGTCCATTTTCTTATACTTAAATCTCACCTGAATTATGGATTCAAACTGTTGATATTCAAGAAATGTATTATTGCTAATTCCATTTTGTGCCTCTAGATCCTGGAATGGAATAAAGTCCCTGCCCTGGATGACATGCTGTAGATGTCTTATCCATTTATTGTACCACAATGGGGAATTTAGCATTTTCTTATTTTGCAGGATGTCAGGATTGTTCCAGATCGATTAAGTCTGCATGGGATGGGTGAAGACCCAGATATTTTGAGAAATTCCCACCAGGGTTCCAGGGAAGTGCTTGTGTTAATGCTTTTAAAACAAGTATGATGTTTGATACTGGAGCTGATGAATGACATATTGGAAATAGTCATTTCCTTACAGAAGGTTTGTTCTATGTCCATCCATGAGTGGTCCAAAGAGCTTTGATTGATCTATTTTGAGATATGTTGAAATCTGTTGGACAGGAAGTAATGAAAAAAAATTGGCAGCTCTAAACCACCACAATTTTTTCCTTTTTGCAAAATTTTAAAACTGATTCCTGAGGGTTTATTTTTCCATAAAAATTTTGAGATGTTTGAGTCCAGTGACTTAAACCAGTCAGCAGAAGGTTGGGTGGGTAACACTGAAAACACAGTGACCTCCTCTAGCCTTTTTGCCAGGGCTTTGAAGATGATTTTAAGATCTGCGTTAATAAGTGATATTGGGCGATAACTGGATGGGAGTGTGGGATCGTTGTCTGGTTTAAGGAGCAGGCTGATATAAGCAGAATTCATCATTGGAGGCAATATGCCACTACCCCTAATTTGCATTACCATCCTATAAACTGTGGGTGCAGATGTTTCCCAGAACTTCTTGTAGAATTCAGCAGGAAAACCATCTGGCCCATGGGCTTTATCTTTCGGCAAATTTAAGAGGGCTTCATGGAGTTCAGCCATTGAAACAGGTGAATCCAGAGCCCTGATCTGTTCATCATCTAACCTTGGCAAATCTATATTGTTCAGAAATGCATCGATGTTAGAGTTGCATGGACCAATAAGCGATATACGTAAGATTTTATAAAATCTCTTAAGGTATTATTTATTTCTTCTGGGTTATGAGTCATATTCCTAGCTGAATCCTTGATGGTGGAAATGGTTATTTCTTTATTCAGTTGTAATTTGTTGACTAGGAATCTGATGGATTTATTGCCATGTTCAAAGTACTCCAAGTGTAGTATTTGCAACTGGAAGTGAATCTTTTAATCAATAATAATAATAGTCATAATTGAGCTGCTGACCAAAACATAATCAAGGCGAGAATATAAGTGGTGGACTGGTGAAAAGAATTTTCAAAGAATATTTGTATAGTACATTTCATACAAAAAAGCAGTTCAAAGTGCTTTACATTCACAAGCACTTCACTAAGTAACACATAAATAAAGCATACAATACGGCAGCATCCATATATGCCACTACAATAGTCCAATCATAAAAAAGCAAAAGCATGCAACAACTTTTTGGCATCTTCCAAGGCAAGGTAGGGTCTAACTCTGGCAATGGTTCTTTTTTTTAAAAACATTAAAAATTCAACCTCTGTAACAATGTTAAAATCTAACAATGAGTCAATACCTGGGTGTCCTTACCCAGGTTTCTGACAACACTGTACAGTCAGACATTTCAATATATTAGAAAAATGGTTTCTTTTTATGCGTTATCAATCTCTCTCTGTCCACCTGTGCTGTACTTACAAATCCTCATATGGATCCTCTTTTTGTTTTATCTGTTTATGAGCCTATAACAGGGTGCGATTTGTAAAAAAATCCGGGTATGTTTTGAAATGTATTTTTTTTGTCATGAAAATACCCCCCAACTCCCTCCACACCGTTCGGCATGCAGATGAACTGTGGATTGATTGCAAAGTTTAACCATCACAGTTGAGAAAAGGTTACTTTTTAAAGTAATAAATATATAACGTTACATCGTGATGCAGAGCTGCAGTGAAAAGAAGACAGATGCATGCTGTGTATGTATATGTACGCAAACCTAGAGAGGGGGTTTGGAGGTGCAGCAACCCGGTCAAGATGTAGAAGGGGGTGCGTTGCCTAAAATGTTTGGGAGCCGCTGCTCTAGCACTGTGGGAAACAGCTGCTACTTAGAATGGGGCCACACCCAAACTACAACATAAATATGATGAGAAAATTTCCATAGCCAGATTTATGTGATGATGTGGGAATCATGTTCTAAGTTCATACAACATAACAATGATCATTGATATTTGGAATATGGAACCCACTATTGGCTAAACAGAAATTCTGGCTTGTCAAAGCAGGAAAAGCACAGGTGTAAATGATAACATTCACGATGGCTTTGTTTTAGTAAGTGGCCCAGTAAGCCTAAATGGAATGTAGCCATCATTAATGTCATTACCTGCGCTTCAAAAGTCAAATGTCTGCCATGAAAGGATCTATTGTTGCACTTTCATTATTAAACACACCGGTGCTTGTGCTGATTCATTATTACAGCTCCTACTGTATGTGCAGCTGGGTATGATCTGTGTACATCTGACAGCAACCTGAAGTCCATCTCAGCAAACTTGCCCCCTAATCAAGCCAGACTGAGTTTCTTCTGCTTTAGAAACACTCCCTCCCTGATGTTGCGGATGGACTGAAGACAGGCAGATTGCAGTAATTGTATTTCTTTGAAGGCTCTACGGCTGATTAAAGGTGTTTTACTTTAAAGGGCCTGGGTCCAATGGTTTTGATCCTCCAAGCAATTTGGCTATGATAGCAACAGTCAATGCATCCCCTTTCATTGCAGCCAAGGGGATTGTTTCATGTATGAAATGTCAAGTCAAAGCAGTCACTATGTGCTGGTATCATATTTTGCTTAAGCTTGAGAAAGTGAATTTCATACATGTAACACAAACAATGATAGCTGCAACTAACAGCCAAATTGTTTAGAGGATAAAAACAATATTTGTGTGTTTTACACATAAGAGGAATTTACTTTGGTGATAAGGTGCTACATGTAGACAGACATACAGTTGACATAAATAAATGTAGAAATATATAAATATGGAATTGACAATGCAAGTTATATAAGAATAATAAAAAGAATAGAGAAAAATAATACAACTATTTGCAGAGAAAGAACAACGTCGCAGATATTTACATGTGCATTATTCCGGGTTTGTGTTGTGCAGACGTATTGCAACAGAAGAGAGTATTGTGTACATAAATATATAAATTGACAAAATATAAAAATATATAACAACGATTAACAATTAACAACAAATATGTGCCCTGTGCCAGGTTTGTGCATGATATGAAATGAAATAATATTTACATGTGCAGAAAGATTTGTATTATTTGGGAGGAGTGTCAGTCGGGGGGCCCGGCCTTGTTGATGAGGCTAGCTGCAGACGGGTACCAGATGGTGATGGAGGAGGTGAGGATGGACTCAATGATGGCGGTGTAGAAGTGCACCATCATTGTCTTTGGCAGGCTGAACCTCTTCAGCTGCCGCAGGAAGTACATCCTCTGCTGGGCCTTCTTGGTGAGGGAGGTGATGTTCAGCTCCCACTTGAGGTCCTGGGAGATGATGGTGCCCAGGAAGCGGAAGGAGTCCACAGTGGTGACAGGGGAGTCACTCAGGATGATGGGGGAGGGTGTGGGGCTGGACTCTTGTTTTGCCAGGTGACATGTTTTCCCATATTCACGTGCTGCTTCCTGTCCGTCAGGAAGTCACCTGCAGGTGGAGTCAGGCACGTTCAGCTGGGAGAGCTTGTGCTGCAGCAGACCCGGGATGATGGTGCTGAAAGCAGAGCACAAACAGGATCCTGGAGTAGGTTCCTGGGAGTCCAGGTGCTGGAGGATGAAGTGAAGGACCATGTTTACTGCATCATCTACAGACCTGTTAGCTCTGTAGGCGAACTGCAGGGGATCCAGGAGTGGGTCTTTGATGGATTTAAGGTGGGACAACACAAGGTGTTCAAAAGACTTCATAACCACAGAGGTCAGGACGACGGGTCTGTAGTCATTTAGTTCTATGGTCCTTGGTTTCTTGGGGACAGGGATGATGGTGGAGGCTTTGAAGCAGGCTGGCACATGGCATGTCTCCAGTGAGGTGTTAAAAATGTCTGAACACCGAAGACAG